ATGGCGTAACTCCGCAACCGAAGCATCCAGGGCGCTGAATTTTTTGGGAATGGATTGGGAGTCATTGTAATAATTTCTAACAGTCATGGTGGCCAGTCACAATTCTTTTAGCTAGAAGCATCTGCCAGGAAGAATGTGCCACTGGCGAAAAAAACCTGCGGGGGAAGCTGTGCAAAAAACGCATCCTCGTAGCGGCAGCCGGTGCGCTTCGACTAGGTTGGTTCATGGTGCAGTAAAGTACATAGGCCGGCAGTGTTTGCATCGGAAAGAAACATGGATTATTCAAATTTACTGACTGCGGCAACAGTGAGAGCAATGGGATGAAAAGTGTTGTAAATTAAGGTGAACAATATCAGTGGGAATAGAAAATTCAACGAAAATCGCAGCCAAATCACTTACAAGACGTGAAGTGATAATGAAAGGCAAAAAGATTTACTCGGCGAAAGATAATTGTGAGTTAAAGAAGGTTAGAAACGTATTAAAAGTAATGAAGTAGTGACTATAAGACTGGTGGAGATATGAAGCGGTAAAAATCAGCAGTGGAGGTAATTTGGGTAAAGTATGGGAGAGAAGAAATAGATTTGAATCGGGAGAGGAATGAGGATAAGAATTAGATAAAAGAAAGTTTTCGAAAGTTAAGTGACGGAAAATGTAGATGTGCTAAGTAGAGTATAAATAAAGGCAGATGAGGCTAAGAACACTTAGGGATCCGATGCCATATAATTATCAGAGATGTTTGAAAATCAGGAAAAACGGTTTGTAACTTTATCGATAATTAAATTTGTGAGGAACGAAAGAAAACCAAGAAATTATTTTAGTCGTATACTTTTGCTTTTTTTTCCAGCGAATTCGATCGAATTCAATGGAAATTATGACCGTGCAACAGATGCTGCAGTACAAAGAAAAAGTTGCCGAAGTCAATGCCAATTACGCAAAGAGTGAGCAGTGTAAAAATGAGGTAAATTTTACTGATGCTAGCTTCAAGCAAAACATTTTTTGAATTTTTCTTCGTGCAAATTCGAACTCTTAAATATGGCGGTGTTGCCGGCACCTTTTGAAGCTACAGGTTATTTTACATCTAGAAACTCCTGCCAAAAATTTCCATGTGGGATCTCCTATACGATTAGCTAATAGTACATATTAAAATTTACCTCACTGCAGGTCCAGCGTTCAGGTTAAAGAATTTTTTGTGTTATTCGTTATATTCTTTAAGCTTCTGCCAACTTATTGAGTTTAAGTTATCCACTTTGACTTCTCATTTGCTTCCTCTCTTTCTCGCTTGCCTCTCACTCTTGCATTACCTCGTCATTCTGTTAGATTTAACGATGAATATCGGATCGAATACTGCATTAAATTTAACCTCACCAATGCTAGTTGTGCTGAGGGCGAAAAATTAAGTAGGCTTAAAGATGTTATTATTAGCTTCCAGTGAGTCGAGATTGTGAGTTTTGCAGATCGAGAGGATCAAAGAGGAGCAAGAGCTGCAATTGCGAAATGCGGAAGCACTGAGAAGAAGCTATGAACTGCTGCAAGAGAACGATTACAATATTATCAAACTGCAGAAGAGTTTGCAGGCCAATCAGCTGAATCTGCTGAATAGCCAAGCGCAACTCCAGGATGCGCATCTTCAGGTTTAACCCTCAATTCGTCCCTCTTTTTCTCATATCACTGCTTCAGAATTCATGCGGATGAGAGCCGGAACTTTTATTTTGCTTGTGGAACTGTTTCATCTCATTTATGATCTATGCTTTAGCAATAATTTGCAATACGAGCGTGATGCTCAAATAACTAAATTTAGTCATTTGCAAATTCACCGAAAATACCAAGACAGTTCGGGCAATCGGTGTGAGCCGTCGTATCAGTGATTTTACTGAAATCTCTCCACACCCCAGACAAATCTAAGCCAAGTCTTTAATATTGAGCTGCATATCTCCAATTAGCACGTACCATCTATTCGAAGTGTGTGCGCCACTCCAGAAGCCACCCGAGTGATTGTTAGTTTTCGCGGAGTAATACTAACTGATACGTAACGTCCGTCGGTAGTCAGCAGGCCAAGAAAAATGCCCAGCCCACCGAATTTCACTTTCTTGTATGACCCCAAAGATACCCAGAGTATCAGGAAAGCATAAACATGTGCATATAATTGAAAAAACAAGTGACATATTTCAGATCCAGAAAAGAGATGAGCGGATCCGGAAACTGGAGGACAAATTAAATGGCATGCAAAGAGAGATACAAGATTTGTTTGCGGCCACATTCAAAATACCTGATTTGGATGAAGAAACTGGGGGGAGCCGTGAACAGCTACCAGCTTCTGCTAATGCTACTCCTGGCACAGAGCAGTATAAAACGCCGCAGCTGGAAGAACCTAAAGCAAAACAGCCTCGTGTTCGAGATATCGAAGACGAAGACATGAACGCGGACA